TATAGTGGCAATAGCTATGATGGGGTTGCTTCCTTTGCTGTGGCTGAGGCTCTTATTGGTAACTGCTTACTCTGCTGATGAGCTTTACTCTCCGTTTTCTTCTGCTAGCTAGCCATTCAACTCTAGAAAACAAGCAAACAAACAGACAAATAAGAAAGCTGTCAGCAGGATCCACATCTTCCTAGTTGTTCTTTGACAGAGACAACCTGCTGGAAAGCACTGGATCTGATGGACTGTAATGTTCAGTTGCTCCCAAGAATGCAGGGACGACAATGTGTGTGCTGTCTTTGTTTCCTGTCCTTTCTAGGCTTCCTTTGCTTGCAATCCACATGTAGCTTTCTGATTCTGGAAAGATCAAAGACAGGAATGGCAATCAATTTTACTCATCTTTTTTTTCAATACGCAAACCCTCCTAGTTATGCATGGTTTAAGTACACATTTGCAACTTTTGTGATCATAAGTTGAAGTCCTATAAAGTGTTTCCTGCTGAAATGTCATGCTGGCTACAATTCAACAGCAAATAAATATTGCTGTCCTCACTAATTTGAAACAGCGTGAGTTTTAAATCTTTAGCTTCAGGAGATTTATTAAGATTGCAGTTTTCATCACCCTCCCTTCAGTCTATCAAGACAGGTTGAAACTGCAGAAATCATGTTTTTCAGAATTATTGCAGTTGCTGTAAATTCCTTTTCTATAATTCCTATCATAAAATACAGCAGGGTCATGGTCAGTCAAAAGTTGAACTTGATAATCTTAGAGGTCTTTTCCAACCTAAATGATTCTGTGATTCTGTGATTCTGTCATGAGAGCAAGAACCCTGAGCTATAAATAAATGCAGCAGTTATCCATTAAAAAGTTTTAAGCTTAAAGTTAACTAGCTAGTTTGACTGATAATGTCTTTTGACTTTGTAAAAAGCTGACAGATTCTGATCCACAGCCTTACTTACTGAGTTTTGAATTACCATTGCATTAGTATAATCAATTTCTTTTAAATTGGTGAACATTCTTGGTAGCATATTTAAGAAGGTTACGTTTCTTCATTGTGTACATGAAGATTTTCTGCAAAGAAAATGCACTGGTTTATTACTTCACATATTTTTACTACTTTCTGTCAACTTCATCTTTTTTTTAATGTATTTACAACTTCTGTAATGTTCCAGAGCAGTAAAACATTACTCCATAATAGAAGGCATATATTAATGAAACTATTACTTTTGTTCTAGAAAATTTCAATATTCTTTGTTAAGCGGATTTATCACTACAGCCTTATCACTATCACATGCACTATTTTTTGAAGAAGTACTTATAAAGTGCTTATGTCCATCCATTCATTCAGGTTGTCTATAGATAGCCTGGTCCTAGACAACCAAAATACTTCTAGGTAAAACTGTGTTACAAAAGAGAAGGCTGGGAAAAGAGTTCAGAGAAATTCACTGGGGCCTTTTACCGTAGATGGAAGAACGTTATGCAAATGTTCTGATTCTGAAAAGTCATCATCCAATTTTAAAGGCTTTTTAAAAACAACATGTAGTTTATTTTTTTAAAAAAGGACATCTTTAAATCCTAAATTTAAATAATTTTAAAATTATAAAATATAAATAAATTTAAAGGACAAATATGTCTACCACATCCATTCATTGCTTCTTTTTGGCATTATCTGGATATGCCTTAACTAAAGAGACCTTTGACTGGCCAACTGCAACAAGACTATCAGGCAACTTTTAACTGTAGAAGGATCTTCCTTCAATGATATATCGATGAAAGAAGGATGGGGAGTGTGGATGACTAGACGTGAGTTTGCTTTATCTAGGACAGGACCATTCTATTACTCTCCAAATTTAGCTCTCAAAAAGAAAAAAATCAGTTGAGAAGCCAAGTTATAAAGTTCCATAAAGTAAACATAGGTTTGTTTTATTAATCATTTATTTTGTGTCACAAATAATTCCAGCTTATTTCTATAGTCCCAGGCTTTTTGGAATTATCTCATAAATGCATTGGCAAAGTCTCCTGCTACTCATTTGGGTATAACAATTCCTTAAATTATTATTTGACATTTCATATGATAGGATACAAATATTGAAAAGTGCTAATTTTTCGTGAAGTTATGACCAAAAATAAAAAAAGTCAGCTCTAGTAAAACCAAGAGTCAAATAGTTTTTGATACAGAGGTAGATAACAAAGTCTTCATAATTCTTGGCTAGTGAACGACCAAGGGTCATGTAGAGCAATAGTTTATCTTCCATATCCCTTTTCCATGGTTCATCTTCAGGATGTAACAAAATAATGAAAAACTTCTATCAAGTAATAGCTAAATAACATTTTTGCACTATTCATTATGATACGTTGTCACCTCAGAGCCCATTTCAGTAGCTCTGAGGCAATTTTCCTCAGACACATTTCCTTTTAAAGACCTCCTATATGCAAAATAGGATTCAAGGGACATTTGTACTATTTCCAATACAATTTTGCATAGGTTTCCCTTGAAACCATGCAATGGGTTGCAATCTGAAACATGCATAGTTTTTCCTAGATCTTTATTATATTGCCAATATTCATATTTTATGCATCCAGAAATAAAAACTCATTGTGTCCAGTTAAAATAAATCATATCAGCAGAATATTTTAAAAGGTACTGAGGCCATATAAGATTTCAAGTCCATTATAAGTCATATGGTGAAATGATGTTATGTAAATGGCCACTAATATCTAGGAGTTGTTTGTTTTTTCTTGAATTTTTTTTTTTAACTATTGTATTTCAAGAAGATTTGAATATAATTCTTTAATTGATAAATGCATTTAAACCCATTTATATCATTCTGCTTATTTATACAAATGCATGCACAGATACACACATATATGTTTATTACATTCCAGTACCAAGAATGTTGTTCATCTAAGATATATTATTGCTGAAATTGAGTAATTAAGTGCATTGCACGTTTAGAATTTTCTGTCAGCATAGATATCTGACTACAACAGGGAAAAAAAACAACTGGAAGGGAAATTACAGAGATTCATGGAAGTATATGTCCATTACATTGGGGATAATGCTGGGTTTGTGGCTCCTAATTTTAGTTTAATTTTAAAAAGTGCTCTTAAATTGAAATGAAATAGTCATCAATATTAACTAAAATTTTAACTCTTTCATAAGAGTTTTAATCAACTAAAAGTCTTGAAAATTTCTTGGTTTTGGGCTTGATACCTGCAAGGAAAATCTTTGAAACTGTGAATTTCAGAACTAGTATATTTTTGTTGAAATATTATGGAAGAAAACTTATTATACACCTTCTCTAAGAGACCTACTTGAATTCTGGAAGAGAGGAATAATATTAATAGACCTAAGTAAAAGATTTTAATCAAAAATTACCGTAATTGAAAAGCCATGCTTTGGCTCTACAAAGTTCTTGACTGTGAAGTCTTTAGTTCCAACTTTCCTTAAAAAAGGCTACTATATGTGAATAGAGACTTTTGTGCATGTCCCAGCTGGTCTCCAATATGAAGAAATGTGCATTTGAGTGTTTCTAAAGAGACTGATATGAATAAAAATGATGTCCTGAATCAAGATTTTAAAGTAGAGGTTGGATTCCTCCCACTGACATTTCATGTCCACAGGGTTAGCCATCTACTTATGACAGAGGAGTGTGGATTTCCCTTTTAGTAAATGGAATTCAATGCAGGCAGCGGAGTCTAAAATACACAGCCATCTGCTTTAAAATAAGATGAATTCCTCTCTCTATTCCAATGAGTGTATTGACATGATCTCTTTTGATTAAAATGTGAATTTAGATAGCTGTTTGAAGGTAACTGGTGCTCTGTAAAGACTACAGGCTCAGTTCAGCACAGTCTACTTTGGAATGAGCTGAGGAGTATTCTGAACATCCCTGGCTTCACTGACTTAATCCTCACCGACCACTGTGCAAACTTGTGTATCTGGTTCACATATAAACACTGAAATTTAAGTGTCTAACCTCAAAATTAATTTCTGTGCTGATTTTTTCTGGGATAGAGTTTATGTTCCCCATAGTATGGGGCTATGTTTTGGATTTGTACTGAAAACAGTGTTGATAACACTGATTTTTGCATTCTCACTGAGCAATGTTTACACAGCATCAGCCCACCATCAAGGAGACTGGGATGCACAGGGAGTCGGAAGGGGCCACAGCTGGGACAGCTGACCCCAACTGACCAAAGAGATACTCCATACCATAAAACATAATTCTCAGTATATAAAATGGGAGGAAGAAGGAGGAAGGGGAACACACATTTGAAGTGATGGTGTTTGTCTTCCCAAGTTTCTGATATGCCTGATTGAGCACTGATTTCCCGGGGGTGGCTATACCCATTGCCCATGGGAAGGAGCAATTTAATTCCCTGTTTTGTTTTGCTTGTTTGCATGGCTTCTGCTTTACTTAAATTGTCTTTATCTCAACCTTAGAGTTTTTTCAATTTTACCCTCCCAATTCCCCCCCTCCATCCCACTGAGGGAACATGAGTGAGTGAGTGAGTGAGCAACTGTGTGGGGTTAAACCATGACAATCCTTCCTAACTTTTCAGTTAGTTGCTGTACATACATGCATAACAGTGTTTGAGGTGCACCAAAGCATCCAAATCCAAACCCTCACAATTGGCAGAAGTGACAAAAGATTGAGGGGAGTCCTGTGTCGCTCTGGAACAACAGCTGGAGGTTAGCAGCAAATATTTCAAATGGCATTACACATCCACATGTAGGCATCTACATTGAATCCCACGTCTTAATTTGGAGACGAAACAAATCCTTGAACTCAGACAAACTGAATCACTCAGTACATTTCATCCTTTTCAGATTAGTATCCTTCAGTAATGAAACTACATGAACTGCCACCCCAGACATTTCTCTTTTTTCTTTTTTTTTTTACAAATGAATGATAGACATGACATTTGTCTGAATGAAAAATAAAAGCAAATTTTGGAATATCAAAAGTTGTCTTGAAATAGATTTTTCTTTCTCTGCTCTTTTCTAGCTAGAAGGAGGATTCAGGCACAGCAAGCACAGAAGGTGGCTTTGTATGAAGGAGAACAAAAACAAGGTCTCTGAGGCCATTGTCGAGCTGCTGCTATGATTTATTTTAGTGCTGAAAGTCTCTAAACAATGAAGCTGCCAACTTTTTCTGCAAGCATTTATTTAACACTCCCAATATCAGAAAATTAGTCCTTGTTATTTACTCTGAATTGTAGGTAAAGGATTTGGATGTGGAAACAGTGGCCATAAAATATATGAAAATGTTCATGATTTGTATTACTTAATAAACTTTCTACTCAAGTAACTCCTTCAGTCTTTCCTAAAATAGTATTTCTTCCAGACTCCTGGTGACAAAAATTATTCCTTTGGATTTTTAGACAATATTGTGTTACAAACAGTGATTTTCTTCACATTTGCTCAGAAGTTTAAACTTTGCAATCATACCATAGCGAATTGGAGTATTTGATTTTCTCTAGCTAAAAATAGGGAAATCAATACCAAACCCAAAATCCTATCAAGGACATTAAGTTTATTTTTCACTAACTGAATGATTTAAAATCTAATTAATTATATCTCTATTTATCCTTTAATAATAAATATATAATAATAATGGTCAGTCTTCGCGAGCGAAGATTTGGGAAAGGTCATTAACCCTTCGAGCCTGCGCAGTGGATTTTTTAGGTGAGACACA